GTGCTGAGAGCACATATTCGGCACATTTCATTTATGGTATCGAGCCATTTGGCATTTCTGCCAGAACAACGATCGCAGGCGTCATTCTCTAAGGTCGTCAGTTCCCACCGCGCTTTGCTAGCATCCGATTTTATACCTTCGGCGCCTTCACCGTCCCCCTTGTGGAGACTATGACAACGCGACGTGCGCCTTTCCATCCGAGGAATAAGAAATAGGAAAGTTCTTTTTACCTTGGCCTTGAAACAAGCTACTCTTGACTGTTTGCACACCTTCTACGCTGACAGAATCCACGTGTACACGGATGGATCTACCAACCAGACTAGCTCAACCGGCGCTACCGTCGTTCCGTCGCGACACATCAACATCACTTACAAACTTTGTCACGTGAGCACATCGACTGGTTCGGAAATTTTTGCCCTGCGAGGTGCCATCTATTATATCAAGCAACAACCGGCTAATCGATGGACAGTATTCTGCGACTCCAAGGCGGCTCTACAATGTCTTTCGTCGGCACTTCGTCGCGGGTCGTACGGACAACTGGTATAGGAGATCAGAAAAATGCTGCACTATGCCACCGAACAAGCACACAGCTTTGTGTTCCAGTGAATACCAAGTCATTGCGGTATCTTCGGCAACGACATCGCCGATGAAGCAGCCAGAAATGCACACGTACAAACACGTACAAACAAACCCTGTGTTCGTACATTTGTCTAGGATTGACTCAGTTAGATACCTAAGTAAGCTGGCGCAGAGCATGGCACTCCAGAAGTGGCAGTCATCACAGTTCACACATCATCGACTATATTCTCTCGATTCATCTCTACGAATGCGGCTACCCTCTCTGGTGTTTCCAGGTTGGAACGTGCAATGTTGTGCCGTCTGCGTCTGGGAGTAGCCTTCACCAATGCCCACTCATTTAAGATTGGGATGGCCGACAGCAAGAAGTGCATCGACTGCGCCGTCGATGAGACTATTGAACACCTCTTATGTTACTGTCCGGCGTACACAAACGAGAGTCTTCACCTGCGCAGTGTTCTAAATTAACTGGACAGAAGTGATTTCACGGTCGAAAAAGTATTGGGATCATGGCACTGTCCATCCCGACTCCGAAAGGCAACGAAAGCGCTGTTGCGTTTTCTCAAAGGCACCCGCCTGTTTCATCGTTTGCGATGTGAAACTGTTACTCGTCGGCCCAGTCAGGGACCTTTTTTCTCCTCATCTATAACTTTCCTTCGCCCTCTCTCCTTCAGCAGTGCAGGGTAGCCTACCGGGGCTGAGCCCTGGTTAACATCCCCGCCTTTCTCCTTATTTTTTATATCTCTTTCTCTTTGGGCATTAATAAAATCATATCCTGTTTCAAAACTGCTGTAGAGCGGTGAAACAGCCCCGCCATGGTGTTCTAGTGGCTAAGGTACTCGGATGCTGACCCGCAGGTCGCGGGTTCGAATCCTGGCTGCGGCGGCTGCATTTCCGATGGAGGAAGAAATGTTGTAGGCCTGTGTGCTAAGATTTTGGTGCACGTTAAAAAACCCCAGGTGGTCAAAATTTCCAGAGCCCTCCACTACGGCATCTCTGATAATCATATGGTGGTTTTAGGATGTTAAATCCCACATATCAATCAATCAGAGTGGCGGAAACATTCTAAACTGAGGAGCACGACAAGATTTGAACGAAAGCTTTCATATCTGAGCTTCACAACGCTCAGGCTTTTCCTGAAATCTGCGCCCTAAGAGATTTACGACGTAAACTTCAAAGGATTTTGTTGAGCAGCGATCAGTTAAAGATATTCTACTTGGCTGGTAGACATTGGTTACTGGAGAAGAACATTAGGGACCGAATCTTTACTCTCGCGCCCGTACCTTCGTGCCAACATCAATGTGCCATCACAAGTTCCGAAATATTTTAGTACCCTATGGGTCGCTTTCTCCTTACAGCCCACAACAGGTTGAGTGCATATGTATATTATAATAGATTATAATCGATATGATTTATTAAACTTTTCACCCATCTACTGCTCTTTGAAGCATTATTGCTGTATTATGGTAATCAGAGTTCATCTCTACGGTAAGATTATTAAATGCGAAGCATTTCTTAGCGAACTTCTGTGACTTTGGGCGTATCTATCCATCTAGCTAGCCGCTTACGTTTGGCTGCTCTCATGGTCACCCCCTTAACTTGGCATGAACCAAAATTAGCATGGCAGGGTAAAATATAAAATGGTTCGACGAATATGACGCGGCGGTCAAGATTTGAATAATTCCACAATCTCGCCGCGTACGTCGTCAAACACTTGCATTCGTCGGGTCGACGCTACCGATGTGGAGTATTTCTCAACGGTCACGCGTCAAAATCGCCCTTGTGTCTTCTTGTCGTTCCTGGAATCGAACCCAAGTATTCTTCGTGGCAATGAAGCATTTTACCACAGAGCTACGGCAGGTCTCCGAACTACTTTTCAAATAACGCTAATCTTTGTAAAACGTCAATAGTGGTTGCCGTGCTGCCTACCAAATTTTATAGACAGCACTGCCCATCCCAATTTCGAAAGGCAACGAAAGCGCTGTTGCGTTTTCTCAAAGACACCCACCTGTTTCATCGTTTGCGATGTGAAACTGTTACTCGTTGGCCCAGTCAGGGACCTTTTTTCTCCTCCCCTATAACTTTCCTTCGCCCTCTCTCCTTCCCCAGTGCAGGGTAGCCTACCGGGGCTGAGCCCTGGTAGGAACCGCTTTAAATGTTTTTTCTGACAACTGAAACTTCAGTTGAGAGAACAAGTATTGTCCTTGTCAGCCTATTCTGTCCATCTGTTTTTTATTGCGCTTCAACAAAATTTTCAATTATGCTAATACGCACGTTCACACTGGCATCATTGCACAAGTGCAAACAACTGATTATAAAAACATCTGCAACTCTTCAACATATGCCTGTGTGTGCAACATTTGTACATATATTAGGCGTCATTTCACGACGTGTCGTTCAATAAACGAAAATTGCAACACGGTCACCTTCCCTTCGCATGCTTTGCATAACGTCGATTCCCACGTACATTGGATCTACGGAATTTTTTTTCAATGTAGCTCTGCCGTCTCTCGATCAGTGTGGGCGTATTTTTTTTTTTTCAAAACCGCAAACACAATATTTGCTCGTTTTCAATGCGTTACAGAAATAATTTACCAGCATAGCTATCCCACATGATAACATTTAGCAGACTATACTAAATACATCTTCAGTGTGTATTAAGGAGGATCGCTTGAATGAACTGCGCAGTGCTGACAAGAAAAAAATGTTTGTACCAGATAAGTGTGTGCTGTTGAATGGTGATTACGTGAAAATGCAACAACCAGGAGTGGTCGATAGCTTTATCAGTAATTCCGTCGTAACCTCTCACTTTCGAGTGACTTTATCTACATGATCTTGAGAACACCGTCGCAAAACATTAGAGAAGATAGATAGATGAACAAGAATGTTTTGTTTGTGTCCTTGTTCCTATGGTAGCATACATATGCCATATTCTAGAATGTTTAGAATCCCTGCTTTATCTCACCTTCCTTTTCCTTGAGAACGGCAAACATTATAACGACGACCAAATTTACTCGTCAGGTCAGTACGTTCTTGTGACAAATCCTAACTATTTTTCTTGAGCATGAAGTAACTCGTTTGTGCAGGCAGTTTGAACTTTCATAATAAAGTGGGTGATAATATTTGCCCGATCTGCCGCGATTCGCTACATATGCACCATAGATCGTGAGAAACTTTTCACCAAACACATTTCCGTTGTATTAAAAGTTGCAAAAAATCACTCTTTTTAAAGCGTATCATGGATGCTGAGAGTAAACGGACACCAAAGGCAAATATTAGATCAATGTTTATTGCAGAAGTAATGGTCCAGAAACCTCGTAGTGCTACTTTTGTGGAAAAGAATCGAATATTTGAAATAAAATCATGTTTTAGTGGTCCGCATCGCATGAGCACACTTCAAATTACCCGCCTCAAGTGGAACCTAGTACGTCATTGTTGCCGTGCACAACGTTGCCCGGCTTTACCGCTCGGTCGCCAACGCTAGTAGCCGCAACAGCAATGTCCATTGAACAATTTCCTGCCGTGGTCTCCGAGATGGTAGGTGGGCTTGGTTCAACTGGGCCCCGCTAGATGGCACAGCCTCTCCAGTTTAATCAGGCGAAAATTGAACTTTTGAGTCACTCGCGTCATTTTGCATAGTAACGTCTTGCTGTTATTTTTTTCCGTGAATCAAACAGAAACAACCAAGCATCATTTTATCGCATATCTTGATGCACGAATACTTCTTTGTTTAGTACAGCTAGTTTGATTACTAGAGATTGATTGTAGGCTGTAACTCTAGCGTCATCGTAATCTTTTTGGGAATGTGCTACTGCGGCACTTGTGTTATTGTGCATTTACATTAATTTCTCGGTAAGCGGGACACTGTCGTTGATAATACTATTGTTTTAGACGTTGTTATACATTGAGCTTTCACTCGGACATACTCTGTTGTTTGACCTCAGTGTCCCTTTATGGTTTACTAATGGGTCATGTAAACCAACAGTTTCGAGTCGTAATTAACTCGCTTTGACGTGTGAAGGGGTTTTGGCTTATCTTATTGTAAGAGAGACTTACGTTAGAGTAGACCGTGATTGCGTGTGACGGATGCATAGTTCAATGTATTAATTATTGCCTGAAGACATGAAACCCGATACAAGTGGCTGAAATCGCAAAACCTTTCCCTCATAAGCGTTTTTCCCCATTGGCCAGCCGATTTCGCTAATGTCTCACATCTTGATTGACTAAAATATTCTCTTACATATTCCTTTGCATAAGATGTTTTTTTTTTCTTGGATATGAGCCCACGTCTTTTCGCTGAATATTCTCTTACAATTTTTAGTGTCAGATGTTTTTTGTGAATTCGAGCCCACGTCTTTTCGCTGCATCATGGACAAAATAGAATATCATTTGTTCGATCCATTTTTTTTCCTTTTACTTTTCAGAGTGCGGGCACTGGAACGCGACGCTAGTGGCCTCTTCCGGCAATTTCTCCGAGTCCGGTATAACGGATGCTGGTCATTCCGGACACTGGCCATCCATCGGTGTCCTGTCCTCAAAGGACCGACACTGCCCTGCTCACCTGATTTCAAATCGCTGGCTCCTGGCTTCCGCGCCCTGCTTGAACGAAAGGTAAACCAACGCATCACCGTCCGTGTGCGGCCCGCTTAGGCTTGCGTAGGGTTCTCCATTGTTGAGGTGGGGGAAGGAGGGGGCTAGTTTTATCGTAGAGCCTCCCCCATCTTTCTCTCTTAGGTGGACAATGAACCAAAAAATGAAAATAAAGTGGTGACGTGCCTCTGGCAATGAACTGCCTTTCAATTTCTGCTTTAGTTTATTTATAAACAACTTGGGTCTCTGGTTTCGTGTCTTCCAGGAGTAAAATTGGAGAAGAAGCAGTTCTTAAAGTGCAGGATCACGGGCCATTATTCTCAATAACTGTCGTCGTCATAATCTTGGCCTAAACAATAATGGAACAAGTCTGAATGAGTAACAGTATAGGGTAGGGATTATTTAACAATATTATTTAACAAGGCAATATTTAACCCCCAGGGCAACTACAAGGACGCATCATACAGAAAGAAAAAAAGTGTTATACTCTATGTTATAAATTTATTCGCAACATTTAAATAGAGACACTATATATAAACCCAAAACCTCCTTCTATCTTGAAACGTCGCAGTGACGCTGGCTCCTGGACGTTCCGGTTCCTGCTGTCGCACAATGCATCATCCACACCGCATTACTCCGTCAGCGTCATTCTGTTCAACCACGGACTGAACATGTCTCGGCAACCGGACGTGGCACTAGTCCGCCTGAATCGCACCGTACAGGTCTCCGACCAGGCCGCTCCCATATGCCTTCCAGATAAGAAAGCAAAGCCGAAGAGCTGCGTAATCGCTGGAATGGTAACATCCACAGCAGGTGAGTCGCCTTGCAATAACTGTTCAAGTTTACCATCCCAAAATCAATGTGACTGCGAGGTGGGGCACCGTAGTGAAGTGATCCGGAAATTTAGACTACCTGGGGTTATTTAACTTGCACCTAAATCTAAGCACACGGGCCCCAAGCGGTCTCGCCTTCATCAAAAACGCGGCCGCCGCGGCCAGGATCCCATCCCGTGACCTTCTGGTCAGCAGTTTTGCGCCTTAACCACTAGAACGCCACCGTGTTGGGTAGCGCCGCCTTGGTAGCTCTCGAACATTGTGGCCAAGAGTATTACATAACGTCTACTAAGACACTTAGTTTCTTTGATTCTATTACAACACTCAAGTACAACACTCGCGATTGGATGTGTCTTAGCTATATGGTGATGGGTTCAGCGGGTAAATACTAAAGGCCTTGGCGCTCTATTTTAAAATTCTGTGTGACTTTCATTGCAAAAAATGGCCCTGTAACTGCATGTAATCTGCATATGTCGTCGAAAGGCGATAGTCTTGCGTGTAGAGAGAGTTAACAAAACATTTATTTCGATGTTCTGCACAAGAAAATCGGTGAATGGTATTACGGAGGCGGTGCGTTAGAGTGCCTCGAGTGTGCAGCGGAGGCGAACTGAGCGCATCAAGTCACGTCACACATGAGACATGAGCGCCATCTGGCAGTTTCTTTTGGAAACCGAGCGCGTGGCCGTGCGCGCCCGTCTCAGAGGTGATAAGGTGTAGAACGGGAGGCGACGGATAGGTGCCACCACCATCTCGTCATAGCAAAGCGTGGGAAACACTCCTCGTTCCCTGCAAGCGTTGCATGGTAAGTGCAGCGTGATAAGTGCTGCGGTCCTTAAAATTACTTATGTGTGCGTTTTCTAGTAAGAGATGCATATGCAGAATATATGCGTGTTGTTATGGTGCCCCAGACATGCGCAATAATCGCTTTTTAATTGACGATTGCACAAGCATGAATGCTCAACCTTGAGCAACATTGCTGGTCGCTGCGGATGGGGTCGGCCGTTTCAAGTACCGAATGCCGATAAGCGTGGACAAACAGACAAATGTAAGTGTAAGACAAATGTAAGACAAATGTAAGACAAACGTAAATGAGAACCTAAGACGCAAAAATTTTTGCATCTTAGGTTCTCAAGAGAAACTATCGTCTTTAATAAAGTGTCAGCACAGGCACAATTATTATTTCAACGAAAGAAGGAAGAGATAAGAAGGCTTGTATACGGACACGTATATAGCTTCAAAACTTCCGATGCCAGGTATAGCTGTTTCGTAAGTTATGCACACGTAGCCTTTATATGTATTTTCGTGTGCGTGTGTGTTTCGAAATAAGCTTGTTCGTGCCAGTACTACATGTCAAGGGATGTCAAGATAGCACTCTGTGCTAACCACGGTGACAAGTTCGTCAAAGCGTGCCATATCGTAGCGATTCCATAGAGTACCGTCGGTACAGTCAAACACCTCTGCAGCGCATGCTGCTACGGCAAAGTGGCAACGAATTCCTCTATGTCTTACTGTAACAGCTACAGTGGACAGGGTCTCGGAATGCTACAATTACAAACAATTGGACGGTATAGCGAAGCATGTTAAAGATTCATAGCACTTTGTTACAAAGGTGCTTTACTTACTTCAGAGGTACCATGTGCAAGACTCACTGAAATATGTTATGGAAGTTCATATCTTACAATTAGGCTGCTAGTAATTCCCTTACAATAAATAAATCATTTTCTTCCAGATCATGCACATCAGCTGGTCGTTACACCTGTCCTCGTCATGACGACTTCACATTGTCACATCGACCACGCTGAACATGATGGCAACACACTATGCATACAGGGATTGAACCATACAACGCCTCTATGTCAGGTAATATGCTTCGAAATTCCTTCTGCACATTCCTAGACTGTTAAGATAGTAACACATTCCATGAAATGGACCATGGCAGGTTCATCGCAGTAACTGTAGCCAGTCAATGGCATGCACATTGAACGGATACGAGGTATAAGGCAAAAATAGAGTTATCTTCATTAGTTTACCTTTTTGCACTTTTGGTTCAAAGCATTTTACATCCTTTGTATTCCATTTTGTCATTACCCTACTCCGTCTTTGGGGGTGCTGAGCTATGCTCTCATTCGAGCAAGAAAACACAGCTCCCCCCATCATACCCTATAGTATCCCCTGGTATCCTCAGCTTTGGTCACATGTAGGCCAAGAAGACATGGCGACATTAACATATGAATTTTTTTTGAATGTGTATCCAGATATGACAGTTACTGCATATTGTTCCCATTAAATTCTGGTTGATAACCAGAAATTAAGTGCAATACCAATTAAACATCTGAGATGCTGCGGGAGACTTCCTAATGCCGACCTCGCTCGTGGTTTCCGCGCTCTCTTTGCAGCACACCACAACGGTAGCCCTAATGTGCACCAGTCATCACAGCCAATGGGAGCTGCGCGGCTGGGTCCCGCAGCCGACGATGCAGAGGCTATGCTCGGAACGAGGCGACGGCAATGCCACGGCGGCGCTGCACGCGTTGGATGGCGGCAGCATCCTACACGCGAAGCACTGGGTCCTCGATGTCGTCGGTCACGGCCTGGCAGTCAACTGATGAGGATCATTATCAACAAGTGCAATCGCGTACGTCTCGGTGACGTCGTCGTTGCGTACGCATCATCCGCTTCTTAGATACACCTCCCGACCGCGCACGAGAGGAACACTGTGATACAACAAAATATGGGACACCGTTCTCCAGTACTCCCTTCCTTCCTCCTCCTCATTTTTTCCCCTTCCCAGTCTGTGCGCGTGGACACTATAAATTTCAACCGCCGTGCCAGCGTTACAAGACGTGCATCGGAGAAAAAATAAAAAAAAAATTGCGAGTCAAAGTGACGAGCTTCAAACGCCGCAGCGTAATACAACACACAAGAGGAGCCATGAACACAGAAAGGACGACGAGACGCAGTTGCCAAGCAGGGGGTCCAACGGAAGCCAACAAAATGTGCTCGTGCCACTGTGGTGTGTGCGTGTGTGTGTGTTTGTGGTCTAGCGGGGCGACGAACGTATTAGCTGCGTCATTTGTGTTATGTAATAAGGTGCGCGCGGGATTCTATATAGGTGCAGTAAAGGCTGCTTGCGTGCATTTTGACGACACAAGTGCGCATGCGCGCAGTGTGTGCCTCTAGGACGGAACAAAAGGCGTCAGCGAACGGGACTGTGTTTGTACATTGCTTCTGTATTTGACTGTCACATTTTCTCCGTGGTTCTGATTTCTAGCCCTGTATATTTCTTTTCTCGAGCTTCACCGGGTGCCAATGTCTACTCCAGCGGAGTCTGTGTGGTTGGTCGTGCTTATATGTTAATAGGTCACAGTAGAGAACAAGCATTACGCTTGTATGCGCCACCGTAGCGATGTACTCTATTTCGATGGCGAGCGTGCTGTATTCACTTGTGACTTCTCTTTCGGCTGTCCCATGTATGGTCTTCCAAGCGGGAAACTTGGCCCTTCTGAAGGGGTGCCCCACGTTTCTGTTTGGTCTTTTTTTTTTCCTAGTTTAAACAATCGCCACACCTATTTTTTCCATTTCTTGTGGTATTTTTCTTACGTGTTTTTTTTTTTTCGTTGCGATTGTGACCACTTTTTTTTTGTTATTGGTCAGTCATGCAAAGTGCGCGTGTTTATTTCAGTGCACGCATCTCTGTGTCTGTGAGTGCTTAATGTTTATAATTGCTCAGTAGTTGTGTGAATAGTTGACACGCTTTGCTGGACTTCAAGTGCGAAACGTGAGTGAAACCAAGGACTGTAACTTTTTTATTTTAGCTTTTTTTTCCACGTGTGTACGTGCTAGAACAGAAGAGGAAGTGTGTTTAGATTTCTTTTTATTGCTGCACATGATGTAGTGTGTTTAAGAAGAATGCCGCATGCGGTGCATGTCTTGGCTGCTGTCCTTCGAGAAAACGCATTTTTTGTAACATACATATATAAAAGCCCATTTTCTCCACAGCTTTGTTTCGCAAACTTCGGCTCGCCTATTATATGCGTGCTCATTTTTCGAGAAGCGTGACTTGTTCTGAAGCAAATGAAAAATTCTAGGCCCGCATACATATGTCGTTATAGTTCTGAACTAATCTCTTCTGAGGTATACTGGCGGAAACACATCTTTCCAGTGCATTCTAGGCAACACAGAAGAATATATTGAAAATCACTTGCAAATAAACAACGTCAGGTCAAAATCGGGATCGCCACAGCGCGAGGACGGGTGTAGTGTAACCTTCAGAAGTGGTGCGGTCGATCGCAGCAACCAGGCACCTTCCATTAAGGACGTGTGACCCTTCGAGGTGACGTCATTTACGCTAACCTAGGCTTGTACACTCTCCACCATTAGGAAGGAGGCTGGAAATGTCAGCCAAAATTCATAGCACTGCATCCACCCCCTCAACACACTTCCACTGAGGTCCTTACGATTACAACGCAGCGCAAGTACAACTTAATAGACGGGAAGCTGAGAGGGGGTGCACACGTATGGATACGAATACTGGTTGCGGTTGCAGAGAACGTTGCACCGGATAGCGTCAGTTGACGCTGCTATCATTAAATCGATCGCACGTGCATAGTCACAGAAAGCCTGCATACATTAGGTCTATCTCCCTCTGCTTACAGCAACTCGATTGTAGTGGCTAAACATTCATGGAGTTCGGCTGCCAAGTTATTCGTGGAAGCCTCGAAAATAAAAGAACACAGGGGGTGAAGATCCACTGATTGTCTTTTTTAGTTTATTATTTTGTCATCGGTGTTTCGCGTTGCATTTCTGTGGTTGTATGCGTAAATTTTGTTTTTGGTTTGTAGTGCGAACTCGTGCGTTTGTGTGCGTGATGTGTGTACATGCATGGCCGTGCGTCCGATTGCGTGTGTACTGGAATGTTTTTTTTTATTAATCTAGGTGCGTAATCTGTTCTAGGATATTTATATAAGCTGTTTTTTTTATTCCTCGCTTTAACATTGTCGTGTGTTTTCCTAACAGCTTCTCTGTTTCTGTCTCTTTGTACCATGGTTGTCTTATCCTCAGCAATCCCTATCGTTTAAATTGTGAATCGGGATAGCGAACCAACCGAAACACGGCCTGTATGAGTTGTGACCAAATGTCAATAAACACGGCGAAAAAAACCCGGAAACTCACTTGCCCGGAGCCACTCACTTCGAACGTGCTTCAGCATTCGCTGTGTTGCTTTGCAACCGCCAATGCAAAAATGCACAGTCCACACAGAGAGAAGACAGCGAAATTCACAGCTGGTATTAAGCAATTAGGGCAACCACACTACAGATTTCTTTGGCGCACACGCAAGTCAAGTGAGCAGCTACAAATGAATACTGCGCTCGCCGATTGGGGCCCCGTCCACGGACTTCTCTAACTGGCCCCCTAATCTTTTACTTTTCTCTCAATGTTTACTTTTCTGCCCTTTTGAATCCCTCTTTATCTGTTGCGCAAAACGGTCACATGAACTCAGTAGATGTTCTATTGTCTCGTCACTATCGCACGACTCACATCTGCAGCTATTTGCCATTCCTATAAAAGATTACGCCTTTGTGAAAGCTACTCTTAACCACAGGTGGCACATTAAAGTTGCATACAGGTGGGAGAGGTCCGATGGAACTTGAAGCTTTCTTGATGAAGGTCAATTTACGTAGGCGATGGTTCCTGCACTGGGGTCACTCAGCCACGCTTGCGACGAGTGAAGGCCCCTTGAAGCGTCGGTTCTCGAGAAAGGAATAGGGGTTTTCTGGGCGTCCTCGTGGGCGGACCGGGCTGCATCAACAAGGTCGTTGCCGACAATGCCACAATGTCCCGGTAACCACTGGAACACCATGGACGTCATGTCATTTCGATAGAGCTTTGTGAAGCACTTCTCTGAATTTATTTACTAGTTGTTTATGCACCCTTTGTCGTAAAGCTGATTGCAAGTTCTGAAGGGGTGCCTTAGAGTGGCAGAACACAGCCCATTTTTGAGGCCGGGCTTCCGCGATATAGAGTATCACAGCCCGTAAGGCGGCACGCTCCGCTGCTGCATGGTGATGTCCTGTGAGACACTTTGAACTTTATGGTGACTTGGTACGCCAGAATGGCAACATCACCTGTGGAGCTGTCTGCCGAGACGGATCCGTTGGTGTATTGGGTCCTTTGACCGTATTTTTAAAAGTTGTTGACCTATATATGAAAACTAACAAAAAGAAAAATGCGGGTGGCCAACATCAGCACGAGGTACAACGGGCTCAAACCAATCTAAAGAGGCCCTGCAACACTTTTTGAGCATGGTCAGAAAACGCTGTCGATCGGCAGTCGAAGCCTAACGAGAACACGCGAGACAAGCATTATAGTGCAGCACGCAGCTTCGAATTCGCAATAAATTCTCAAAATCAGCTAAAGCTTGCTTCCTCTTAATCCCCTCGACAAATTGCACTACAATCTCAAAAATCACTCGTCACAGCCATTGTATCAGCCATTGGCTCATTTTAGCATGTCGCACTCGTTCGTTACTGAGGCCGCCGCGGGATGCCGTTACTTGTACACGCATGCGCGCGCGATCGCACTGATGAGCCCCATATTCGAAGGAAAAAAGGAAATAGAGAGAAAGGGATAAAGGTCGCAAAGTGCGCGTGACGTACCTCCTCCCCCATGCCAGTCTTCCCTGCTTAGCTTCCAGCGCTGTCGTCCAGACGAGAAAAGAGAGAATCCAATCGCAGCATTCGACAAATCTTTGTAACTTTGTGGGTAAAAGACGGATTATGGAAAAAAAAATTGCGGCGGTGAATTTGTAAGGCCACAAGCTCCTTTAGTGATGCTGAAATATATGAGCGCACAAGGTAGAGGGAAAAGCACTTGACAAGACAGGTGCATTATTTCCCCATTATGTTACCAACTGGGCCAGCATTCCACTTTATTGAAATCCTTTAGTGAGTTCATTACATGGCTGCTTGAAAAAGTGTTTGCAAGGCCCTATTTAACATATATGAAAAGGATAAAAATCCCTCAGTGATTTTTTAAATAAGCTAATTTGTTTAAAAAACGTGGCTGATCTCCCTAAATAGGAATCGGCATAATACAAAAGTGGAACGTGTCTTTACTGAGGTAGTTGAGCGTTTATTGTGCATTGTTTCAGCAATAGCAACAAATTACAGTCATCTTAAGAACGGCGAGCAGCTCAAAACTTGCTGCGCACAGCTCAAGCAGAACGCACGCACAAAATTAGCATACACGTACAGGATGAGCGCGGACTAATAACTGTCACAATTCTTCCTGAGTTGTGTGTCATCAGCGCGCTCCTCTCGTAAGCGCGGCCGTGGCAGCGTGCGAAGTGACCTTCGTCCTTTCTCGAATTAGAAGTCTGGTAAGCGCATGCGCAGGAAGACCACGCTCCATGGGACCGTGGGGACGGCGCTTCGTGGAAGCGGCGACTTTGAGAACACCGTCGAACTCGAGGCCATCACGCCATCTCGCCACTGATAACGAGAACGCGCTAAAGTTTCGAAGCACTGACGAACGGTGTATGGTGTTGAAAAGGGGTTTATTGACGTGGGCTGCGATGGCGGCTCCACGTGCCAAACGAAATCGGAACACAGCAGCGTCTAGGCAGATGCCGGCGACGATCAGCGCTGAGGCGAGCGAGAGGAGCCGAGAACCCAGTACCCGAGTGCTGGCGATTGTGCTTGCCAACGATGCATCTTCTTAACAATTTGCCCCCACTGAAAAAGAGTCATTCTGGCGACCTAAGAGTCTGGAGACAGATGACTATCTATGATACGACTTGAGGCGGGCCACGTGGACGATGTCACGTTCACGCCGGCGCATGTCGTCAGATGGGCAAACTGGCTCAATTAGAAACTTCACCGGGGAGGTTTGCTCCAAAACGCGGTAAGTACCCTCGTGCTTTCGGAAGAGTTCTGAGGAAAGGCCATGGGTTTGTTAAGGAACAACCAGCCATGCAAGAGATCCCGGGGAATAGCTGTGGCTTCGTGGAGAGCCGGCATTGTTTCCTTCTGGCGCTGTTGTTCTTGTGACGTGAAGATGCGTGCCAGTTCGTGGCACTCTTCTGCTTGTCGGGCAGCTTCAGACACAGGTGGGCATTCGGATGCGTCAGGACGGTATGGAAGGAGAGTGTCGATGGTGTGAAAGGTTCGTGTTCACAGAAGAGGAAAAAAGGTGAAAATTACGATGGTGGACTGTGCTGTGGTCTTGTATGCTAGCGTTATGAATGGAAAAATGTGGTTCCACTTAGCATGATCAGATGTCACATACATCGCGACCATATCGCCGATGTAGCAGTTAAAGCTCTAGACATGTGAGCCCGTTAGTCTGTGGGTGGTATGCCGTGGTCTTGCGATGAACAGCGTGGCATTTGGAAACTAGAGCTGCGACGACTTCTGATATAAAGCTCGACCTCGGTCACTGAGTAGTTCTCGAGGTGCACCATGTCGAGGTATGAAGCGCCGGAGGACGAAGGATGCTACGTCCCGCGCAGTGGCACTTGGAAGGGCGGTGGTTGCAGCGTAGCGTGTTAAATGGTCCACAGTGACTATGATCCACCAATCGCCATCTATCTTTATCGATATAGTGGGCCATACAAATAAAGTTCCGACCCGATCGAAAGGTTTAGGCAGGGCACGGAAGTGGCCTGAAGCGCACCAGGCGAGTGGAAAGGCAGCGATTTACGGCGCTGACAGTCAGCGCAGCGCGAAACAAATTAGCGAACAAAATTATTCAATCCGTGCCAGTAGAAGCGATGGCGAGTGCGTTCGTAAGTTGTGAAAACTCCAGCTATGACCACATTGCAGATCGGAAGGAGGCGCATTTTTGTGATCGCAAGATGCGGAGGACCACCAAGAGTCACTTACGATCTTAGGGGCGAAGTTGCGTCGATGTAACAGCCTGATCACGAATGACGATATGAGCAGCTTGACGTCGGAGAGAGTGCGACACCAAAGTGGTCGACGATCCAGAGAGACAATCGAAAAAAGTGAAGCAATCCACAGGTTCTGGTGTTGTTCGCTGGCTAAGGAGTCAGGATCGAGAGATGAGATGGAGTTGGTGCATTTCGTTCCGCATGTCGAGTGGGAAGATAAAGGCGAACGGGACAGGGCGTCTGCGTCAGAGTGGTTGCGTTCACTGAGGCAGATGACGCGAATGTCGTACTCCTGGATTCGCAGTGCCCAGTCGGCGAAGGTGGCCAGGAGGGTATTTCAATATGCCAACAGAGTGCATGGTGATCCGTTATCAGGTCGAACGGGCAACCGTACAAATAAGGGCGGAACTTTCGAAGCGCCATAACTATAAAGCTAAGCACTCCTTTTAAGTCACATTGTAATTGGCCTCAGCTTTAGTGAGCGTGCGACTCGCATAAGCGACGACGTATTCGGAGTAGCCCGACTTACGTTGGGTGAGGACAGCGCGAAGACCAACCTCGCTAGCGTCTGTGTGAACTTCAGCTGCAGCTGTTGGGTCGAAATACAGAATAATGGGAGGAGAGGTGAGCAAACGATGGAGCGTGGCAAACGCGACGTCGCAGTCAGGAGACCAGGAGGAAAGGTCTGCGTCACCGCGTAGGAGGTTGGTCAGTGGTGACATGATCGAAGCGAAATTTCCAACGAAGCACCAGAAGTAAGAGCATAGTCCGACTAAACTGCGCAGTACTTTGAGCGCAGCAGGTTTCGGGAACTCGGCGACAGCACGAAGTTTTGCAGGGTCGGGTATACCGAACACCGTGGATGCTTGGACACGGTGTGCCCTAAGATGAACAGCTCTCGCAGTGGCGAAGCGGCTCTTTTTGAGGTTCAGTTGAAGCCCAGCGGCGGTTAAACACTTCAGAACTTGTCGGAGCCGATGCAGACAGGTAGAAAAAATCGGGACTTCACAGTGTATATAAATGGCTTGCCGTTAGCACTCCAGTCAAAGTACGCTTTGCGGCCTAGTAGTAAGCGCCGCGCGCGGAGAATCGAGAAATTGCTGATTCGATTCCGCGCGACAGATGTTTGCCTTCCGTTCTTTTTTTACAACTTCTATTTATATTTTTCAACATCACTTCCGTGACGGAAGTACGTCAGGGAGTCGTGGTGGACCTCGGCATGCCTTAAAACAGGAAAAAAAACTAATGAGCGTGACATTTGAATGCGAGCCAGTTAG